AAAAAAAAAAAAAAAAAAAAAAAAAAAGAAAAAAAAAGAAAAAAAAAGAAAAACAAAAACAGAACCAAACGAACCCCAGAGGAATGCAATGCGACAACCCCAAGCTGGAGGGCCCTCCAAGTCGGAGGGTGGAGGAGCTGGGTCTCCAACGTGGTCAACAGCTTTCGGGTCATTCCTCCCTCCACATTACCTTGCGATTCTGATCCCTCTGTGGAAGTTTATCCAGGACATTTCATTCCCCTCCAGGTCACCACCCAGGGAGCCCTGGACTGGCAATTTCTTTTAATAAAGATTTACAGTATCAAACTTGGAAAAAAAATTATTTTTTTACGAAAAATCTGTACGATAAAATGTATATAATTATATATTTATATATATATTTCTCTCTCTTTAAATATTTCCACGTGGTCCTTATGGATATCCAATATGGATTACCTACCATGGCTATGGTATTAACAGCTTTAACAACACCCAGGCCTCTTGTTCTTTATCGAGTGACCAGAGATTTAAGTGCCTACCAGCGCAAAACTAGCAATCACTTGGACAAGCCTTTGGCACCCTTCCAAGAACTGGAAAAAGAAACACTTGGCCACAAGGGAAGTGCCACATAAAGATATGTTTCTCAACTCATTCCAACAGCAAGACCCCATGGAACAAAGTTCAACCTCCATCCTCCTCTGAGCAACTGATCCAAGTTCCCTTGGCAGGGACTGAGGATGGTCAGAGGGGAGTTCCTATCTAGCCAGGAATATTATGGAGCTCTGGAGCTGTTTTAAGAACTGGAAGCATGTGGGCATTTTCAAGTCAACTGGCCTTTTTCTTTGAAGTTTTCATCTAAAGCCCCAACAGTGCCAGGAGTCTCCATTTTGCCTGGTTTTGGAGGCACCTGTAAGGTCTGGGAAATTTTCCAATGCTTGCGAGCTGGAGAACATGAGAGGACCGGGAAATGACAGTAACATCTTTCTCTTCCTCAGCTTCTGCTGTGGGAGTCAATAACTGGTATGATACACAGGACATCAGTCTGCCTGTTAGGAGATAGGGAGGGGGTGGAGGAGAAATGAGGTAACGCTAAGTGTCATCCAAACTGTGCACGTTGGAAAAGAAATATCCCTCGAAGGAAACTCCCTGCGCCCCTCCATAACGTGTGGATCTGGCAGGAGTCACAAGCCTTCGGGAAACGTTTCATTTGCACCCCTTCTGGCTCAGTAAGGTCACGAATGCAGATGTTGAGGACTGAATGAGAACCAAGTCTGAGGCGTCTCTTTTCATTAACCTATTTCACAAAGGACCCACTTGGGAAATCCCGAGACTCCAATGATCCAATGACAAGGTGAAGAGAGGAAGGGAAAGAAAAAGGGAAAAAAAAAGGCAAGCTGACAATTAATTTCTTCCAAAGACAAATAGAGCTTCAATAAAATTTAAACTTAAGTGTCGCTCAAGACAAGACAAAGCCTTGAACAACACTATTATACTGAGTCTTGGATGTGGGTTTACTGTCCTTTAAAAGCAACGGGGGAACTTGATTATTCTCTTTCAGTCCTGAACACTCATTCATTTCGTTTTATATTTTAGAGCCCCATCTCTCTAAATTCTTCTCCTCAGCTTAAACTTCAGCAATCTCATCCTCTTCTCATTTGTGCGATAACAGGCATCGTCCATTCCACAAGTCTCTGACCTGCCCTACGAAACTCACCATCCCTTTGCTTTCCTAGTTCAAAAAGAAAACAAAACAAAACACACGAACACCAACATAGCTATTTTTACAGTGACCTGGAAACATTTGTCTTTGCAGTGCTGTTGCAGAACAGCAGAATCTCTCCTTCGGCTTCCCACTTCCTGCCCATTGCTGAGCCAGAACTCCTTCTCCTAAACCACTGCTCGGAGCCACATGCACGACTTCTCAATCCCAATTTTACCGTCCCTTGCACACGCCGATTTTTAACCTGCCTTCTGTCCATCTCTTGGGATAATTCACAGATTCCCACGAGAAAATGTCAAGTTTCAGGGTCACATTCACACAGGTTGTCTGAACACTGAGGGTTGTGAACTGCACTCTTTGGATGCCAATGTCAGTGCCTGACACAATACAGAGAGGAAAAACTCTTAAGACTCCCATCCAACTACCCCATAGCCCCTCTCTGGTCCAAGACTGGTGAGCCTGGCTCTCCAGCGGCGTCAATCCTTGCTTACCTACCAAGGCTTTTGTCAATGAGGAGGCTCTACAACTCCTCTCCTCCTGTCTTTTTGCCATTGCCCTCTAGTTACACGTCAGTGCTTTAAAAACATCTTTCTAAAATATTCCGTAGAAACTCCTTATCATAGTGCTGATCCCAGCAGATTGCTCCTACCTTCTCGCAGTCAGCTCTGCCTCCTAATAATACTCCTAGCACTTCTCCTCCTCGTCTCCCCTACTCCTCGCCATCACGCAGCTCTTCACAGCATTCACTGTGTCTCCTTCCCTTAAGCTTCAGGGAATCCATAAAAAAAGAAAAATAAGCTGCTACTTCAAGACTGCGGATCATTCGGAAGAAATAAACTGCATAAATATACCCAATTCACAGGCACACCTTAGGGAAGGAGCTATTGGGAAAATTGGTTTGGAATAAAGGAGGCTGCAATATAGTTTTCATAGGCCACACAGGTAATGGGGCATATTAAAATATGTAAAATATATATTTTTCCATATTTTAACAGCATGGATTGAAAACAGAAGGTTATTCCTAATGGGTGTGGTCAGACCCAAGCATTAGTCTCCATCATCCTCCCACTCCCATCCATTCATGGCAGGATGAAATCCACTCCAAAACGCCTATTTCCCTGCCCTCGTAATAGCAGATGGAAGTAGGGAGGGGAGCTGAGATCTTTCTTACAGGGAGCAGGATGCCACTAAAGGAAACTCTTTTCCATATATTCATCTCACATGATGATTTCTACGGTCCATCTGTTTCCCAGCTCTTGAGCATCATTCATGAAGACTTCGGAGGCTTCTCAGGTATCTTCTCCCAGCTGGAAAGCTGCCCACGGCCTAGACGGGGTTGAGGAGGCAGGGGAAGGAGGAAGCAGATCTTGCTATTTGTACTGCATACAGAGCTCAAATCCTGGACACGAGACGTTGATGGAGCCACCGAGTCCAGAGAGAAGCAGCCAGTTAAGTTCCCTTTGTAGATTATTTTTCTTTATTTTTTTCTTCTTTTTTTCCTTTTTTTCTTTTTTTTTTTTTTGCACTTTTGGAAGAGAACTGTTAAAATGCCAATTCTTGACGTGACCCAGGACGCTGGAACGAACAATGCATAAGAGCCTTTTCCCCTCCCCTCTGAAAGGCTGCTAGTTCCCCAACCGAGGGCACTAGGACGCTGCTGAAAACGGCACAGAACTGGATGAGATTTCGGCTGATTTCACGATGGTGATGACACTGGTGGTGGCCACTTTGGTCGGGGTGATGGGCCCTCGCGCCACAGTACGAGCAAAGGTCTGGAGTGCTTCGTACTTGGAGCGCAAGGCGTCCAGCTCTAGCTTCATGCTGCTGTTTTCTCTGGCCAGCTTCTCCACCTCTTGCTGCAACTCAACCCGCTGCCTCTCTAACTCCTCCTTCTGAGTCACGCGCTTGATGCGGCAGCTGGCAGCGTAGCCCCTGTTCTTCAGCGTGCGCCTCCGCTGCTTCAGACGGATGACCTCCTCCTTGGTGAGACCCCGAAGGTGCTGGTTCAGCTCCCGCACGGACATTGACACGAGTTCATCATCACTCAGCACTGGGGCATTCTCTCCCGACTCCTCCTTTACCTGCAAATACCAACAGCACAGGGGTAGCAGCAGCCCTACACCAACAGCCGTTCTGAGGACGGAGATGACCCCTCAGCACCGTAACCCCCCTACCTGGAAAAAGACCCCAAAGCCCCTTAGAGACCATGGGCTCCACTAAAGCAGAGCGGCAGATGGGCAGAATGCAGCAGCAAGCAGAGCACTGAATCTTCTGGCTTTGGGTAACCTCCTTTAGGTCAGGAAAAGCAGTTTGAAGTGACAGATAAAGCGGTACTTTTATCTCCTTCAAAATCTTAAAGTAGACTGAAGTGCTCTGTGTCAGGACATGGATTTTATCCTGAATCTTAAAAATGACATCTTCTCCCAGCACCATGCTGGGACACCTCACACGCTCATTATATTCTAGGACACCTCAGCACTCTCAAAAACAGAAAGGCCACCAGCACGCAGGCTTTAATTAAGCACCTGGTGGCTTTTCATTGAAGATGTTCATCCAAGCACTGACCAAAACAAACCCTACTTGGCTTATTACCACAGCCAGACTTGCTTTTTCTGGAGCAAAGTCCAGAGAAGCTGCATGAGGGAGACATCAAGGCCTTTCGCTTGTGCATGTTTGCTGCTACTATTATTTTCAGAACAATTCAGACATTTTTGGGGGGTATCTTCACAGATTGCAGGATACCTGGAATGAAAAGCCAAGAGAGCAGAAAGCAGCAGCAACTAGGACTGAACAACGTGTGCAGGGACAGCCACAGATCAGTGTCCCAGCTGTTTACTGGCCCATGCACTGTGAGAAGGCAGCTTTAAACTTCCTTGCCCCGGTTCTTCTCAATCCGGAGAGCAGGAGGAGTGAATTCCCAAGGTTGGGAGCACTGTTCTGGATGCTGCCAACATCTAGTATAGTCAAAAACCTCTTGGGTAGCAGTTAGGGTACTCCAGCCTTCATGCAATCCTAGAATCTCCAGACTGCTGTCTAGATTATCACCAATATTCCCTATCCTGTCTCAATTTTTTTTCCCGTTCACAGTGGGAAATTATATTGACACCCATTTTCAAGATTCTCATCAAAGGAAAAGATTATATATATACATATATACACACATACATACATGGAGCACGGTGCTCTGACATCTTCCCCTGCCACCCAGCACCAGCCAGTCAGCCTGTCTTCCTACCTTTAATGCCTTGTTCGGTTTGGGATTAGTCGTCATAACCTGAGCACAGTCTTCTGGACAAAACTGCTCAGAAATTGCAACTGAAAAACAACAACAAAAAAAAAAGATTTTCAGGTTACAGTAATTTCAGAGATAACAGTAGGAGGGAAAAAAAAAGGAAAAAACAAGGGGATACCAACACCCAGACCAAAACCACAACTCTAAAACATCCCTGAAGGAAATAACACTAGAAAACGGTTTTAAATCCTGGGAAGGATTCGGAGATTAGTTTACGCTTTACAGATAGGAAAAGAAATTTGCATCGACAACAAGTGCCTGGCTTTTTAATGCTAAGTAGCCAACATTTTGCTCTACGTACAGCAGGCTCAAGCAAGGAAGCGAGGAGGAGAGGATAGCTGCTGGTGCCTGTAAACAGCAGTTAGGCTAATAACCACACACTGCCCTGCGAGCAGCCACCTCTGCTCCGGGGAAGAGCCGGGCTCGGCCTCCCAGGCCCCAGCGCTTGTTCACCTCCCTCTGCAGGAATCCCAGACGCACAGAACGGCCTATTAGGGGCTGAATTAAGAGTTACCTCCGCACATAAAAGGCACTGAAAAGCCACAAGGCAACAACTCCCTCCATTCTTATTTTGATGATTATTAACCTAGCTTAAAATTGAATCAGCAACCCAGAAATGAGCTGCCTAGTTTGTAACCTCCTTTTCAGAGCTGTCCCCACCCAAACGAGACGCTAGGAGAAAATCCGGAGAGCAGGAGCGAAAGCCTGGGGATAACAAAGCAGAGCAGCGCCGGCCTCTCCCCGCACGCCAGGGCGGCTGCTTCGCGGCGCTCCGGGCTGAGCGCTAACCTGTGTGGTGTTCCTGGTGACGCGGGAGCACGGCCACGGCGGCTCCTCCGTGGCAATGCTGCCCTTCGCTCGCACCTTGCCTGGGCACCGCGTGCCTCGGAGCAGAAACCCACCTGCGCGGAGCTGCACGCGTCCCGTCAGGACCTCCCCGGCGAGGCGGCCGCGACACCCTCCCAGGCGCCGCTCACGGCGCGGCCGGCATCGCGCTGCCCCGCGCGGAGGGCGCGAGCGGCGGCCTCCCGCTGCCGGCGGCACCGCAGAGCGCCCGGCGGGAGCCCTGTCCCCCCACCCGCCCCGAGCCCTCCCGTTCCCACGTCTGCATCGTGTCACACATCCTAATCATTCATGAAAAACCCAGCCCAAGCATCCCAAGCATGATTCCCTTCCGATAGTTGCCATGGTGACCTTGGGAAAGTAGCCAACCCCGAGACAGTCACCATGGAAACAGAGAAGCCCAAAAGCAATAATGACTTCAGGTCATGTCTGTGCAAAGACATCACGAGGTCGTCAGAGAGTAAACAAACTCATTCATAGCGGCAAACGAGGGGTGCAGGGACTTGGGGGGACAAAGGTGGGATGGGGGGAACAGAGCAGCCCTGGGGAGAGAGATGCTGGCTCAGCCAGCGCTGCTCCCGCTCGGATTTTATCAGTCAAGACACCTCGCTGTCATATGACTTGCGGAAAAAAACATCAAGATAAGGGTGAGAGGAGAAAGAAGGGAAAAAAAAAAACACAAAATCACAACAAATACTGTAAATGCAAAGCTGCAAGATACTATCCTAGATATTAGGGCGTGTGTTGAGGTGCCACCTCTGTTTTTAAGCCCGAGACGGCACAGCCTTCCTTCCATGTCTGCGGGAGGAGGGACAAGGACAGACGCCCGGCGCGCCGGCCAAGATGCTCCGTGATGAATGGGCCGCACGCAGCAACTGGTGCGCGCTGCGCGTCCCGGAGCATCGCGGGCCCCTCTCCGCATTGCTCCCAGCCGCGCCGGCGGCACGGGCGCCAGGAAAGGGCTGCCCCGAGCGCAGCCCCCGCCTGCCCAGGGCGGCACCCGCCGTTCCCGAGGGACGAGGCCGCGCGCGGCGGCCTGCGGCTGCTGCAAACCTGCATGTTCCGCCCCGGGCGGCTCCGCAGGGCTCGGCGCTGCCGGCCGGGGGCTCGCGCGGAGGCGCTGGCAGCGGGATGAAGGAAAAGCTCCCGGTCGCAGCGCGGCGGGTTGAGGAGAGGCTGCCAGTGCGTAAAGGAAGCGGCCGCAGCCCCCTCCCTGCACGCGCGGAGCCCGCGCAGGCACTCGGTGCCATAGTTATGCAGTGAGTCACCAGCTGTTTACAGAGCCGGAGAGCTCGCATTCCCACAGCACCAGCAAGGCTGCCTTCCCCGGCATCCCCCCTCGCCCGCCGCCCCCACAAGGGAAGGGGCGCCCGCTGCGGCCCCCACGACGCGACACGCGGGTTACGCCGGAAAAGGAAAGGCAAAAAGCAGGGGGAGGCCGAGGAGAGCCCGGTCACACCCCCTGCTTACACAAAAAGGCTTTTGATCCTCACCCAATGTGTCTTCAAAGCACCTTCTGAGCCAGCCGTGGAAAAACTGAACAGGCCGCTTGGCTGCGCAGAGGTGGAAAGAAATGTAAAATATCATGGAAAACAAGCGCGGAGGGTTGCGATTCCCTCGGTGGGGGTCACTGTCTGGGCTCGCCCACCACCCAAAGCGATGCGGCCGTCACCACCACGTTAACAAGCTGCTCCGCTCCGCGGGATTGATCCGCTTCTGGTCACCTGTTGCTCCGTGTCACCAGAGCAACATCTCCTTACCCTGCACATTCCCGTGCGGACAGCGCGGGCTCCTCCACGTCTGGCACGAGCACCTTCAGCACCTGAAACAAGGGAGGCTCTCGTGCTTTGCGTGCACCTCTCCTTGCTCACCAATGCACTCCAAGCTCCAGCTTCCCTCTCAAGTGCGCTGGGATCGGTCCTATTCCATCAGGATTGGCTGCTGGAGCCCTTCCTGGTGCAGGCAGAAGGAGAGGGTTCAAGCAGCCATCCATAGTTACGATGTTGGGGTATCTCCAGAACGAGTAGCACGGGGGCCATCCCCTTTTTTAAGGTCAGAATTTGATAACAGAAGGAGAAACACTCAGTTAGACTCCAGTTCTTCACCCAAACATGAGCACCAGAGCAAGGAGCACCACAGGGATGGTCCTAGCCAAACTCGGAGCCAATGCACCAACACTTGATCCTCACCAACCCCATCTCCCATCCATACAACCCCTGCCCTCAGCACTACTTAGGACTATGCATCTAGAAATACACACAAATGGCATGGCACTTGCTAGAGCGAGAAGACAACATCATATGATGAAATAGTAAATGATACCACAAAGTTGTCATTTTCAGTGGTGCCCCCTAACAAAGCTGCACAAAGGTCTCCAGGGACTCCAACTCCAATTTGATTACTAGAACCCTTTTAGTCTTTACCCTATTTCTGCCCTTCTTTTCTTAATTGCATCTGCTGCATCATGGCTAAAATTAGGAGCTCAGCTTTTTGGAACAAGGACCACATTACATCTTTATTCTGTAAGCTGTATGACACACTTAGGATGCCACATAAATAAAACAGTGAGTAGTAACACACCAACAATCAGGGGCAAAGGCTTTCGCAGCTCAGCTCCAAGCTTGTGCTTTAAGCAAATGTTTTGATGGTAGGTTACACAGAGAGCCCTTGTAATTCTACAATAAAGATATCCAGCGATAGCCTTGCCAACACCCTCATCGTCTCGGAGGCAATTCTTAAGTTACTCACTGCCTCTTCCCCAAAACCTGGTGTTTGCAGGCGGACGCCTTGTCTGGTGGTCTCAACCAGGTGATCTAGAGATCCCCAAATCCTCTGCATGGGGAGGGAAGAGCAAAGAGAACCTGAGCAGTGCTCTGAGGAACAACAGAGCTTTCTATGCAAAATTTGCAATTAAGGCAAACCATGTCAGAATGATCTTCTGCATACAGAGCTCTCGGAGCACGCTACACGTTAACAGACTTACTCTTAAGTCACTGCTAACACCCAGCAGCTGTGGATGGACTCAAATATTGAAACTCATTCTACACTGAAAGATGAGTGTGGCCAGAACAGAAGTGTCTGGCAGGCAGCCCTGCTGGTATCGAGCTTCCACCTTCAGATGAGTCCAGCAAACCAAGAACACGCAAGTCTCACCTTGAGCCAAGCCAGCAACGACTTCTAGAGGGTAAAAACACAGCATTCGGTTTAGGCAGCAAGACAATCTCAGTCTCAATTCTGCACAACCGTTTATGCAGGGAACGCTCTATTCAGACACTCCAAAACACAATACATAATTCCCCAGCAGCTTACTTGTTCAGTAAGTTGCCTAAATTTCTAGTTTATCCACAAGTTATTCCCAACTCCAGAACACTGGCAAATGCACATGCTTACCGAGGACAACATCAGATTTGGCAGGTGAAGGGAACTACAGATGCTTCAGTCCCGATGCCGGCGCCACCGTCCCTCGGAGGCACAACACGGATTTCCCACTTGTCGCAGCACAGTATGCAGAGCCTCATTCCTTCCCTATCATCCAAAGATCATTTCCCTGCTCCGGCACTCGTTACACACCCCAAAAGAGAGACTGATGCTTGTCATTCATTTGTAAGGAGAGACGGGAGGGCCGGGCTGGTGGTGTGAATCAGAGAGCAGAAGTATTTGCAAGGCAATAGATTTGACACGAACAGAGAGAAGACACAGAGGAGGGGGGTGAGTCACTGTTTGCTGTTCTAGAGGCGCTACACACAGCCCTCGCCCAGCTGGCCGGCTTTCCATTTCCCGTATGGATCGGAACCAGCATCCAGCAGCAGAGCCGGGAACCTGGGGGCCGAGGGCGCGCGCTGCCAGGATGCGGCTCAGCGAGGCGCTCCCTGGGGAAGGCTGGACCCAGATCAGACGCTCCTCGGTGGCGTGGTAAACAAGCGAGCGAGCTGCTGCCCAGAGCCTGTGGCTGCAGAGCAGGGCACGCAGGAGGGCACCCGCGTGTGTCACGGCGGAAAGCTCAGCCTGCTGGGGACGCCGTGGCCCAAGGGGGAAGGTGCATTAGAGCAACACGAAAGGTCCGTTAAAGCGGAGGCGAAGCACACAGCACTTCTTTGCATGCGGCACTTAGAAAGCACAGCGACAGAGCAGCATCGGAGTCGGGTCTCAGCATCACCACCCTAGAGACCTACAATCCCCGTTCAGATTCAGATCAGTCGCTCAATCGAGCGACTCAGAGCAAGGGGCAGAGCTGGGACCAGGATTCCGGCTCCACGGGCCCTCATCCCACGTGCCAACCATTAAGGCAGATATCTCTCCCGATTGCTAATAACAAAACATAACAGCGCCGCTATTCAGGGTCCTGTGACATTGCAAAGTGGTGGGATTTGCCGTGCAATCTGTCCCT